TCCCCCCTGCCCCCTCGCGCGGGGTTGCCGCCCCCCCCCCCCGGCCGTTGCAACAGCCTCGGGTCCGCTCCTGGAGGGGGCGGGGGTCAGGGCCCAGGTCACATGGGGGCGCCCGGGACGCGGCGGGTCGTCCCTTTCCCCCTCTTCCCCCAACTCCCCCTGGTCCCTCGTGGGCGCTGCCCGGGGCCGCGGGTGACGGCGCTTCCTCCTCGCCGCGCAGCTGGTGGGCTCGGATGAGAGCGCGCAGCAGAAGCTGGCAGAGGCGATCCTGAAGGAGAAGAAGAGCTTCAAGATCAGCATGTGAGTCCTGGCGGGGAGAGGATGGTGGGGGGCCTCCCCCTGGTCCCTCGTGGGCGCTGCCCGGGGCCGCGGGTGACGGCGCTTCCTCCTCGCCGCGCAGCTGGTGGGCTCGGATGAGAGCGCGCAGCAGAAGCTGGCAGAGGCGATCCTGAAGGAGAAGAAGAGCTTCAAGATCAGCATGTGAGTCCTGGCGGGGAGAGGATGGTGGGGGGCCTCGCGCTGCCTCCCAGGGGTTCCTCTTGCTTCAGCTGGAGCCCAGGCACATGCCCGGGAGTAGATCAAGAGGCACTGCTGTCGTCTGCTTTAGGAGGTGAAACGTAAGCAGGGGAGCTGTGCTGATGCACAAACTTCTGACTTACTGATAAGAAACTCGTGTACAAATACAACTTCTTCTTTCCCTGTGGTAGTAGATGGAATGAAGGTACCTAATGTGCATCCCTTTCAAAGGCAGAACTTGCCTTTGTGAACACTAGAGTACAGTATTGCACAGATGTGTCTGCCATCTACAGAAGACAAACTGTTCTTTTTTCAGGGGGAAAAAAAGCAATTTGCATCTGTGTACAAGTGGGGGTGGAAACATTTGTAACTTATTTTTTTGCTTATTTTGCATGAACCATTTCCTTTTGCATGTTGCACAGATGTTTGACTAATAAAATGCAAGGGTGCAATAAGGGCACCATTTGTTTTTATTTTCTTTTTTGGTTAGCAGACAGGTGTATGAAGGGATTAAACATCCACAGAAAATCCCTGCATCCACTTGAAACCAATTAAGTCTTTGTAAAAGATGCCCATTACTTCTAGTGCTATTTTTAGCCAGCATCTGGTTTGTATGCACGCACAAGCACAAGCTTTTCCTCGAGCTATCAAGATGCATTTGGAATTATATCTTTAGCTGCACAATAACTCCTGTCTAAAAGCTCACCTAATTAGCTTTTTACTGGATAACTACCTTGACAGCTCTTGCCAAGAGCAAATGAGTTTAGTCAGGTTTTCAGAAGGTGTTTGTGTTGTTTTTCAATAGTCCTAGGCTATGCAGTAAAGGCAAACCTGTTTTTTTTTTTTTTTTTGTTTTTTTTTTTTTTTTTTTTCCTACTTTGAATATTTACCTCCCTCTGATCATGGAATCTGGAGACTTGCTGTAACATAGCAAATCAATCTCTAGCTTCCGATACTAATACTGCAGCCTGTGCTGAGCTCTGAAGCACCTTTCCTAGGGCGTTACTCATAGTCCAGCAAGATAGTTCAAAAGCCCTAGGGCTTGTGCTCGCACAGCAGGGTATCAGGAGGCAAGTTCCTGTGCTGCAGCACAGCCCCTCTGTAGGGGGACAGAGGTCTGTGGTGGCTCTTTTCCACTGTCTTGGTTTGGGATTACTAATACTGCAGCCTGTGCTGAGCTCTGAAGCACCTTTCCTAGGGCGTTACTCATAGTCCAGCAAGATAGTTCAAAAGCCCTAGGGCTTGTGCTCGCACAGCAGGGTATCAGGAGGCAAGTTCCTGTGCTGCAGCACAGCCCCTCTGTAGGGGGACAGAGGTCTGTGGTGGCTCTTTTCCACTGTCTTGGTTTGGGATTATGCATGTTACAGACCTACCTAACTGGTCTGGAGACCTCTGACATCATCTAATGATGTTAACTTGAATATAATGGGATTCCAAATCATGGAGCACCTTTTTCTTCTTTTTGTTATTCCAATCTACCCTTCAGTTGATCTTCCATAAATGTGGCACTGGTAACATTATACCCAGTGAAAGGTCTAAGCTGCGTGCACTACACAGGCCTTTCTTTTCAGTGGGAAGAAGGTTTGGGGGATAAAAAAATGACAAGCTGTAATTCTCTGAGCAGCTATGCCAGCAATGGCTTTACCGTGGTATAGTTTTTGTTCAGGGTAGCTAAACTAACCTACTAACCCCTGAGGCAGTGAAAGGCACAAAAAGAGGTGTAATGGTATAAAAATTGAACCAGTAAGCTCTACTGGTGACAAAGATTCTGGTTTAAACAAGTGCAACGCAACTTTGTGGGTACCTAGGGAGGCAGTAGCTTCTGTGTGAGTACAAGATCAGGAAAAGAAAGGCATTGACATGTTTTAACTGGAATTTGATAGAGAAATACACTGGGACAGCGTTGGGGTTAATTTTGTTAGCAAGGTCACTTAAAAATTAAATAAAACATTTACCATACAAACCTGTGGGTAGAAAATGTTTCTCAGTGTTAGTCTTGTTATACCCTGTGAAGCGTCCTCTTACCAGTGTCTTGGACTAGCAAGAGTCAATTGTGGCTGTAAACAATGACAAATAGGCTTAAGGGGGAGATGAGGATACCAATTAATGAGCCACAGTGGCTCTTTACTGCCTGAGTGTTTCATAAATTTCCTGACACTGAATCTGCTTCCTAATAACTTCTCCCATAGTGAACTAAAGTTAAGTGGATACTGTTTTGCCAAGCTCTTTGGGTAACCTGACAAATTTATTTTTCAGCCACCTTGCAACGTCCCTCCCCTTACCTTTGGAGAGGGATCACCTTCGACCGAGGATAGATCTGATTGTATTTATGATTGACATCAAGAGCAAGTACAGGTAAAAGAAGGCAAAACTGCAATGGGGCAGCTGATGTTCTTTTTTAAATTGATGGCCAAATCTGCATTTTTCCTGTGTCAGAACCACAAGATACTGGACCTCAAATCCAAGATTTCATAGAACAGATGGAGTTGTTACGCAGCCTCAAAGAATGGATTAGGTAGGATTGTGAATGTGGCTACGGTGTGTTAAATTGCCACAGTGGAGAAAGCAGAACTTCTTCCTGGATCCGGATACAGAGTGATAGGAGCTGAGATTTGGAAATACGTTACCTGTGAAATTAGGTGGAAACGGTAGTGATGCTGCTAAGCTCTGTAGCGCACAGACGACTGGCGTGCGCCGGGCAGCACTACCTAGTGATCGTCCTGTTGCTGTGTGTGAGGGCACCTCTTTGGCACTGCTGGCTCGGTGGGATCAGCACTCCAAATCTCCCCTTGGAGAAAAGGAAGCCTTCAGGGATCAATTCTTCTTCCCTTGTCTTATGCTCATCTTTGTAAAAGTCTAATTTTTGTCCCCAGGGCACGAGGAAAGACTTGCTAGGGAATAAAAATCCATATTTTGTTGCTGATTTAGCTTGTGACTGATGCAACTTTCATTTACTAAAAGTGACAGGCCCAGCTGCTTACTTGCATCACAGATGGTGCTGCAGAAATGAGTGGGTTAGCTCTTTTGAAGGAGCCGAAGTGGTGCTGAAGTCTTACTGGATCTTAATGAGCTTGGATGCCTAGGGCCTGCAAGTCTTAGAGGACACTATTCAAACTAGTCTAGCTGTTAGTCTTGGGTAGAAAGGATGTTTTCCGGATTCTTCAACAGCTGTGGACGTTACAGAAGTCTCTGCTGTCATGCTTTTTGTATAGAGCATGATTCTGTCAGCTCGTGGACCAGCAGATTTTAGCATTGTTTGGACTTCTGAAAGTTCTTTTTGTCCTTGTGCTGCAGTAGTTCCACCTCCTTGTCCAATTGGATTGTCTGTTCTTTTCTGACAGCTTGAAGAATGTCGAAGCTTCGCTAGCTCATGTGGATGCCAGCTTCTTCCTGGGGAAAGTATGCTTCCTTGTCACTGGGGGTACGTATGGCATCTGCCCTGTGCTTCACCTCTCAACAAAGCAACAGAGTTGTGCTTCTTAAATCAGGGCAGTATTGACCTGAAGCAAAACAAAGCAACAATTTTGTCAAAAGCTTTAATTAAATTATAGCTCAATTGAATGTTTTTTTAACTACAGGTTAGAAAAGCATGGCTTTTTTTGCTTACTTCCAGTTAGACCTCTCTCCTCCATCCCTAATTCTCTAAATGTGAATTGTGTTACTGATTTTCTGTGACGCTGCAGAAGTCTATTCTGTCTGCTATTGCAGATCTGTCTTAATGATAGTCTCAGCTAACAGTGAGGAGCATATGATGCTGTGGTAATAAAATGAATCCAAATGGAGAAGTTTTATGAAAACTATTAAGTGTATTTTTAATATATGATTGGCATCCCTGCTGCATACTGTCTGGTCTTATTGTGCCTCTAATACTTTCCTCTCCCTTGCTTCTGAGCAAAGAAGATGCTGATCTCCACAGCCTCCCAGGCTCAGCTATGAGAAACTGGAGGGACCAACCTACACTACTGTTTTGGAGTAGAGCCCTTGGATTTTTCCAGAGTCTCTGGATTTTTGGTGTCATAGGAGAGCTTCTTTTGGGGTGGGAAAGTTTCAGCACTATGTTGTACTGTGACTCTTGCAGTGAGGTGAAGTCCTGGAGATAGGAACACCCAGTGACACTACATGAAACTGCAGAGTTTCTGATTAATTGACGAGAGGAAGATTTTGCCCCGCTGACACTGTATGGATCTCTTGCCCAAAATGTTATTAACACTGCAGTAGTCATTAATGTGGGGATACTATTCCTGCCATCCCTATTATTGAGACTGTTGTGCTAATGCCCAGTGCTAATCTTGAGCCATTGAGTTTGTACTGCTTATTGCTGCCTTACCAAATATGTTGCTTTCAAAATTAGCCCTGGATCGTTATGTGGATATGCAATTTCTCTTCACTGAATGTTGATTATAAGCCTTGTAATGTGGAAAAAAACCTTTTCTGCAGTTGGCAGGGTAAATTACTGCAGCGTAGAGACAAATGCCGTCTGGAAACTGAGAGATATCTACTGCAGTCCTGTGCTATACTGTGAGCTGGAGGTAAGGTGCACCCTTGGTGTCTCAAGGAATTTGTGGATTCCCCTGCTCTCTCATTCTTAGCATGATCATTATGCTAGTAAATACACATACCTGTGCTGCCATCATGTGTAAGTGCCAGAGACCAGGTTCTTTTCTACAAGAATAGTACAGGCTTAAGAGTCTGGCTGTCCTTGAAATCAGTTTTCTAGATGGATTGTAATCTCCTGGGCTATTTCAAAGTCTCTCTAAAAGCCAAGCCATCCTAATTTAGCAAAGCATGCGAAGCCTTTGTATGTTTGCTCCTTGAAAAATTCTCTCTTCTTCCTGGGAACCCTTGAGCTGTTGTCTGTCATGTGATTGTGCACACCACACTTCCTGTTACCCAGGCTTTCATGCTTCACAGATTTGCAATCAGATACACCACTCTCCTCAGTTACCCTTTAGCTTGAAAAGCTGAAAGGAGAGCTTGCACTCGGGGAAGTGCACTTCACTTTTCCGTGTGCTCATTATACCTCACTGAGGCACCTCGTCCCTCACCGGCAGATAGCTTTTGTGCTTTTTGGCAATCCTTTTGCTTGCCCTCCTCCCTCTCAGCAAACCTGAGTCAGGTTGGGCACCGAAAACTTTCTTAGGGTCTTTCAGCTGGTGTAACTGTTCTCCGTTAACTGTTAATGGAGAACAGGTAAACAGTCTCCATTAAGTTGTCCTATTTGGGGGGTGTCTGTATCTAGCAGTCCTAAAAAAAAAAAAAAACTGGCAGCATTAAACCCAGCAGTAAGTATGTTTTTAATAGTTTCTTCATTTTTGCTTCCAGCTGGAAGGGATACGAGTTGCCACTGCTCAGCGACTACTCCGAATGTTGCAGATCTGTGCTGGTCACATACCAGGGGTTTCTGCCTTGTCCTTTGGATCGTTGATGAGGAACTCTGAGGATGAACAACCTTGAATTGTAAAAATGCAGCCAGGTTCATTGGTTCTTTACTTTCAGGCATTCAGGCTAGAAACACTTTGGGGTTTTTTTCTTGCCTGTCTTATGGTCACTCATCTAGAGCTGTTGCTAGTCATGAGTCTGTCAAGAAAATCTTGATTCCTGTTTGGTGGAAAGGCAGGGGTGTTGGAGGGAGGATAGCTTGACCTGGGGTCCCATTATTACATTTAAATCTAAGTTTATACTGGATTTTACCCAGCTTGCTAATGGCCAGAAACTGTATGTTTTAGTGAGAGAATATCAAAAGAAGAACAGACCACTGCCTCAAGTGCTGCACATCATTGTTGGGTATCTGAGTTTCAGTGGGCCAAAACTGCTAGAGAGGAGATACCAGGCTTCTGCTTCCTTTGACCTGAAATATAGCACCTTGGACTAATGCAAAACCTCACTGCCAAACTTGCTGTCTCTGCACCAAGAAAATAATGGGGCCAAGTGGCTGTCCTGAAGCTTCTAGACATTCAGCAATTGGCAGTTAATGATCCAGCTGTGGGAGCATATGCCGAATGAAGGGCTCAGTATTTCCTTTCCTGATACCTTGTTGAGGTTCAAGGGACTAAATAGGGTAACTTAGCACTTTAGCTTTCTTTATATCTTTAGGGAAGAAAGTTTGCCCTCCCGGACCCGAAATAACCAGCCCAAGTCTTTATGGAAGATTTGGACAGCTGTAGACTGTTCTGCCACAAGTTAATCCCTGTAGACCAAGGAGGAGTCCTCCAGAGAAGCTGAACTGTCTTTGAGTTAAAAAAGTAAGAGGTGAAGAGGGCTGTAAATGAGAGTATTACTGCACATAACAGATCATTGCCCAGGTGGGTGGAGCAGAGAAGAAGAAACATGCAGGCACTAGTGGGAATAAGTCTCTGCTTTTGAAGTAAAGGCCACAAAATAGCTTTTCTTCAATCTCAATGGGCCAAAATTCAGAAGAGTGGAAGCTGCTGGCCGTTAGCAAGCTTCTGCAAATAGGGCAGTTCAGCTGCAGGAGCTGTGTTTGCCCTTCCAGCTTCCTTAGTGCTGGAGCTCTGTGCTCTGGGGCTGGCTGGAGATGGAATGTGGTGTCTTGCCTTGCCTTTACATGCTGCATACATATCTCTCACCTGATAGGTCCTTATCAGCAGTAATCCATGCCTTAATGCAAGCTAATATGTTTTGCAACTGTAGCTTAATAAAATGTATCATATTTCCAGCAGTTGTGTACTCTGCTTAGATATGTGCTGTGGCCTCTAAAATCCATGACCACTTACTTGCCCCAGCTTTGCTCTGACAGACTGGTCCTTGCTGCTTTTCGTCTCCAGTTCAGCAACGCAGTGGACTGCAGTCACTGTTTCCACCTCATGGTGGTGGTAAAAGCATTCCAAAGACAGCCCTTTACGTAAACGGAATTGAGCCACCCTCAGAATAGAGTGTGCGGGTGGTTCTTACCCAGAGCTGCATGCCAGGTAGGAATGAAGTCTAGAGGCTATCAGTTAAGCCCCCCTCTGCTTTAATTTATTTAATCCCTAGCAGTCTGCTTTAATGTTCCTAGGTGCAGAGCTCTGGCTGAGCATGCTGTTTCCCTGAGCTCGTTTCTGACATCTGTCAGCGTGCAGGAAAAAGCAGCAAGCAGCAGTGTGGGCTTAATCAGCTGTGAGTGTTGGCAGACCTTGCGGAGAGGGCTCGACGAGGCATGGAGCCCGTATCCTTGCTCAGAGGACATGCGGATCCCAGCTCCAACTGTGTTGTTGCTGGGAGGAGGGGAGCTTGTTTGTCAGCTGCAACAAAGGCACTAAACCGCTCAGCTGCGTTAGGGTGCCCGAAAGAGCTGCCCTCTCTGGCTGTGGCCCAAAGGAGAAAAGATGTGCGGATTCTTGTGGCTGAATAAGAATGGGGAGATGAATGCTCTACTTTCCGCTAGCTTTGCAGTCCTGGTGGTGCTAGCCAGGCTTTGGCCGCCAGAGAGGAGCAATCGTGCTGAGGAGTGAGTTTCTCTCCGTTGGTTGTGCTGTCTCAGCCGCGCTCTCACTTTGGGTCCCTCAAAATAAATGAGCCCACAGTTTAGAATAGACTAGTTTCGATTTGCTCTCAGTGTGCAGGTGCAGGCTGGGGGAGGGCAGGGAGGGCAATGGTGTAAAACAAAAAACGAGCAATTCTTTTGTCTTTTGCATCCCTATTTTGTCTTCTAGGTTGCTCTCCAGTTGTATCTAATAACATTTGGCCTCCAGTAAAAACCATTCTGTCTCGAGAGTAATTTCTCTCATTGTGATTTCTGAAGTGGTAAAAATGAAACCACCTTTGTTTCATCCAGAATACGTATCAATTCATCTATGCTACTGTCCACCTCAGGTCCTTCAAACAGGGCTTTATATATTTATTTTTCTTTTCTTTGATGCATTTCAGGTGCTGTGTTTTCTTCCCTGTGCTTTCAAAGAGGAAAGATACTGTTTTCTTGCGCTTCCTACAGGTGGCCGAATCCCAGCTGGTACAAAATGAAATCTAGTTCCTTAAGAGCAGCATCTCGCTTTACCTTGGGGCAAATATTTTTCTTACTCTTAAAAAATAATGTTTTTAATAGAACTGGCAGGAGCAGTGGAGCGTATCTAAGACTGTGACACTGTGTCTCAGGTCCATCATGTTTTACAACTGAAAGTAGTTGGGACACATCTAAAGCTACAGCTACAACTATGTAAATACCTCTAGGAGCTGTCAGCTATTAGTTTAGACAGGACATAACAGTGCCCCTACCAGAGGAGACAAGGCAGCTGAGGATATATTTTGTCTAGATGGAGTAGCGAGTGCTAGTGTTTGTGAAAGTAGTATTTGGATGGGCATGAGACCCAAGGAAGGCCTGGAGTGGATTAAACTTAGTGACCCAGGATCCGTTCTGTTTAGACATCATCAAAGAACCTGCCAAGCAGGTTGAAATCAAACAGAAATGTTTCAGAGTTCTTCATTTTCTCTTCATCTCCCTACCTTACTTCCCTATCCATCTGAAGGTTTGCAAAGAGAAATTCTCCCATCTGTAGCAAAACTACCTGTGAGCTTTTCTCATTGAATTGTATTGCTTTGTGGTTTTTGTTTATCAACGGTTTACATCAGCAAACCTAGTGTAGAAGCAGTCGTTTTGCTGTAGATGTACCTAAAGCAGTGGCACTGGTGTAACCACCTTTCAGCAGTGCAGTGCTGTTGTTCTGGCACAAGTGAGCGAGACTGATGGGGTCTCTTCTGCCACCGCAGTGAGACTCCAAGGTTTTTGCTTTCTGCCTGGGCACTCGCAGAAAGTATCGTATCTCCAACCTGTTAGAGCTTCGTGTGGAGGTGGTTTATTAGTGATTTCAGCACACTTCAGCATGGTGAGTGTTAACGATATTATTGCTCTTTGCTAGCCCAAGTTTTGCAGGTGAAGCTTTCTGCTGGCTTAGCAACATCGTCAGTTAAACAGACCAGCTTTTAAGTGTGAAGAAGACAGGCAGTGCACTCAGTCCATACTAGCAGGGGAGAGTCCTTGCACTGGTGTGGAGCTGATTGTAGAAGGTCTGTCTGGCCTGGAACAGATCAGAGAGAAATCTAGCTCTGGAGATTAGTGTGTCCTGCAAGCCTTGAAACTGGTGGTAGGGGTTTTGATTCAAGGTCATCCCTAATGTTTGCTTTGGGGACTGGGTGAAGCTAGATCTCTGTACTTGCCAAGATGTGTAGTTAGGAGGGCCTGGCTGGGCTATGCTGGGTTAGTCAGGAAGCAGCTGTGGTCCTGTAAGAGCTGCTCAGTACCTTGCATCTTGACTGTCATAAAAGCCCCGAGATGCCCTGGGTTACAGAGATACCTCGGAGAGCTACCTGCTCTGCTGCAGATCTCCTTCTACATAAACCAAAGGGAAGGTTTTTCTGCTGTCCTCTTGTTCTCCGGAGTTTGTAACTTGTCCTGTTGATTCTGTGAGGGCTCTGGGCTTTGCTCTGGCCAGATTCCAGCTGTTCGTCTCCTTTCAGCTGGCCCGGTTCCCCTGGCAGTTTCCCCTGCATGCTGAGTGTTCTTCACTTCCTATCCTAAGCTGGTGTGCAGTTTTGCTGTAGGCTGTTGAACAACTGCCACTTTCCATTCGGTGACCAGCTGTCCTTCACTGGTGGGGAAAAAGTGATTTATATGCAGGAAAAAGCAATAGTTGGCACAACCCAGAGATGGAACGCAGAAATACTGGGCCCATTTGCCCCGCAGTTGAGTTCCTGGGCATGTGTGTTGAAGTTCTCCATGCCTTGTTTATACTGTCTGTAAAATAAGCACCTGCTCCTGAGGGACGCGAAAAGAACGAATTGACACTTCTGCCATGTGTCGGGGTCCTTTGGGTCACAAGTCTAGAACTGTCTGGAAACGTTCAGCTGAAACAGTTGGGTCCTGTTGAGTAGAGCTCGATTTTTGCCAGAGTTCTGGTGAACATAAAGGAGCGCTTGACAGGAACCTGCCGGCCAAACGGCTTCGGAGATCGGTGTTTCCTGCCACTCGCCCACCTGACCACGCAGCGGGCCGCTAAGGAGGCTGCCTGAAACCAGGCTCTATTCCTTCTCATAGGGCATTTCAATGTGACTGAGTTTTGTTCCAAACTGGAACAAACCCGTCTTCTGCAATACTGAAATTCCCCACACAACTGCTTTATCCTTGCATTGGCTTGGGGGAGGAAGGGATCAAAGTCCCTAGGTGTTTCTCATTGTTAAATATTAATACAGTGCTTTAGATGCCAGGCAAGACGCTATCCCCACGGGTCAGCTGTGCACAGAAGAGGCCTCCTTGGCTGCCGAGAACTGGTCCTCTGGAGAGGATGGATGCAGAGGAACTCAGAAGTGATGTGTCTTGCTTAGACTCCTCGCAGATGAGCAGCATGGGCTCCTGGCCCGTGCTGGGCCACACTTGCCCGGCCCCTAGTTTTGTCTGGAGGGGCTGATACATGCCGTGACACTGAGCTCCCTTCACTCCCTCTAGTTTATTCTGTCAAGGGAGTCGCAAGGAGGCTGCTTTCCATGCAGGGTGTTCTGGCAC